TACGGTAATTATTACTGTTAAAATTAAAGTATATCTGATTTTTATGTTCCGGAACAAGTTCCGGTAAAAATGGATTTCACGGTAAAAAGTGCCAATACCCTGAGTGCCGGTACTTTTTACCGCAATTTGATCCGGACAATTTGATTCTTACAGTGTACCTGTTTCAACGAGCCACTGAATTGTTGTACTGCCAGTGATTGCTTATAGTAGGTGTAACTATATGACAATATATTTAAGAAATTATTGTTTAAACCATACTCTTTGAAACGTATCACAGAAAAAGCATAATTAATTCCTGTTTTGAAGAAATAAAAATGAAACACATTTAATAAACTATTTCAACTGGAATAATTTTTAAATATTTCTTCTTCATTCAAGCGAGCTCAAATATTCAGTAATCTTTTCATTCAAAACTTAAGCCATTCAGACATTTTTCAAAAAGCTTTACTTAACCCTTGTAATTATGAGGTAATTACTACCTGTCACGAAGGCATCAAAAACATTAAATACAATTCTTTTCTTATAAACTTGGATATCAAAACTCAATCAACTTTAAAGGAAACTTAGCGTAGTAAATATTCCTTTTTGTAAGTTAATTAATTTATTAAGTATGCGGAAATTTAAATACCGCTTATTAAAAGAGATTGAAGAATTCAGAAATGGTACTTTAAAAAAAAATCTTGATTTCGAAAAAAGTAATAAATAAAGTAATTTTCAACTATTGAATTTACAAGAAGTTTATTTTAAAAAAATTTTTGTATGGAGATTTGCACATTTTAAGAGATAATAACAATGAAATAAACATTTGCCACCTCAAAGATTGTTGCAGGTAATTTCTTGTCTAATTTAATCCATTTATTCCCTTATGTGAACATGTTCTTTTTTAAGAAAGCTAAAAGGTGGTAGCCTGTTTATTTAATTCTTCGTATTTAGTTCGTAAAATTATGACATTCATGATTATTGTAACTATATAATATTAATAAAAATAGTTTTAAACCAATTGGAAGTCATTAAAATACGATTTTTTCAAGGTTAAAAGGGGTTGCTTATAGTTGAAAATATCCATTTGCTTTGAGTTCTAACCCATTTAACAGAGAACCATCAATTTTACGTCAGAAATACGTATATTTCACCTTTAAATTTTATATCCAAAAAACGCAAAATTATATGCAAACAAATTCGTCTATTTTGCAAATATTTTATCAACCCTTTTATACTAGGAAAGAATAAGCTCGTTATTTTTACATATTTCAATGATAAATTTTTTTCGCCAATAATACGCAGAATACACAGAGGCATCTTTACTGAATCTAAATAGTAAATTCATTTCGTCAATATTGCGTAAAATGTACAAAAATATTTTTACACTATACTGAAGATTTTTACCAAAATCTAAATTGTAAAATATGCGTCAACATTTATACGTTAAGTGTATAAAAACTTTCTTACCGAAATATAAACGGTAAACTTGCTTCGTCAATAATATATAGAATATACGAAAGCTATCTTACCGAAGGGTAATTGGTAAAATACATTCTGTTAATAATACGTAAAATATACCGAAACTTTTTTTACCAAATATCCCGATGGTAATATCATTTCGTCAATATTACGTAAAATGTACAAAAATATTTTTACACTATACCGAAGATTTTTACCAAAATCTAAATTGTAAAATATACTTCAACATTTATACGCTAGGTGTATAGAAACTTTCTTACCGAAATTCAAATGGTAAACTTCCTTCGTCAATAATATATAAAATATACAGAAGTTATCTTACCGAAGAGTAGTTGGTAAAATGCATTCTGTTAATAATACGTAAAATATACCGAAGCTTTTTTACCAAATATCCTAATGGTAATATCATTCCGTCAATATTACGTAAAATTTGTGCATAAAGTGTATTGATTTTTCCAATTTCCCAAAAGCTTACGTTTAATTCGCGTATTATGCTACATGGAATTACCTACTAAATTTTTTTGAAAGGCACATTTCTCAGTCACTTCAAACTGTTACATTTGTTCCCACTTAGCAGGAAATGGGTAAATTGAATTAAAATGACAGTCTTAAAATTAAAAAAAAATCGCGTTGCTTCAAATATGTGGCTGCATTAAGTGTGAATGTAGTACATAACAGGACGCTACATCGTGAATTTTCGACATTTTTATCAATATCACGGAAACGATCGTTTAAAAAGTACATAGTACATCTTAAATACCATATATTACGATAAATATCTAATAAACATTAAATATCGGATGTACGACAATGGTAAATATCGAATGTATGATATTTATCATCAACTTTAAATAACGAATATGATACTGTTGCGAGTATTACAGATAATTATAATTATTGAATACAATAATATCGTAATATTTATGAATGATAAATATCGGATATGAAACTATTACAAATATTATCTATAAAGACAATTATTGAATATAAAATTATCGTGTTTATAAATTTAATTTGACCAATGTAAAAATAATGCAAATTATACTAATAGGAAAAATATCGCGATATATCTGGATATATCAATTTCTTTCAGACGATATATCGATGGATATCGATATTGACTCTCAATATATTATGAAATATCATTAACTCCTTATCACATATTACAATATTAAAACTCTATGTAACCCAGCACTAACGTGAAACTTCTTACCTTATACATCCCTGTTAAATTTCAGTTTTTACTAAAATCGCAGCATTAAAACTTTAAGTAACCCAGAACTAATGTGAAACTTTTTATCTTTATACATCCCTATTAAATTTTACTTTTTACAGAAATTGCAACATTAAAACTCTACGTAACGCAGAACTAATGTGAAGCTTTTGATCTTACTTCTCCTTTATATTTCAATTCTTACAGAACTTTTAGTGAGTCCTACTCGTTCACACTAAAAATGAAGCTGGTTTTAGTTAATTAATATGTATCTCCCTCAAGGTAACATAACACGAGTTGATTGTCTGATCAGTTAGCTGAAACAGTCGTGAAAGTAAGATTAAAAGTTAACCTTCGTCACAACATTTAGGGTCAAGAGTATTCGCGTCAAACTTCTTTTTTTTCCCCTTCACTTTGGTAGGGGGTACTTTGAAATGGAGCTCATTGGTTGGAATTAAAAAGAATTTTGGACTTAAACAAATATGTATTTTCTTCCTTTATTAAAATCCTTATAACAATCCTGATTTACAAGTTTTTTTTAATAAATGAAATAATTTTTTAATGGGAAAAGATTTAGATGTTTTGTAATAAAATGCTAAGAAATTATGTTTTTAAGCTTGTTATTTAGTCTTAAATTGACACAGTAATAAAAATGTAGAAAAAAAAGTCTAAATTACTGATTTTTAAAGTTTTCTTTTACCACACTGTGAAAAAAAAAACGTTTGGTCAAACTACCAGAAGATGGCAAAATTTTCCGTGCTTCTGGCTATATGGGAACACTAAAGAGCTCTGTATTTTTTACCGAAGTGTTTTGGTAATGATTTTGGAAAAATTAGCAATAAAATAGTGTTTTACTATATATGTTTTAAAATTTGGTCATTTTATCATGATACTTTAGAACACGACATGAGACCACTTATTCGAAGAAATGTACTTTTCAGTTTTCTATTCTTTACTAAATGTGTGATAATAGAACAATAATTTTGATAACCAGAATTGCTGCTATATCAGTACAATATGAATACAAAAATTTATAAATGAATGGTTTAAATATCTTACATTTTGGTTTTATTAACCAGAGTTATGTTGTTTTTTTTAACCAGAAATATCATTATACTATGCAATACAGTAATTTTTGCACAAATTACTTCCTCCGTGTATGTTAATACAGTGATGCTGTGGTGAAAAAATTTTTCAATAAGATAAATTTGATCAAATTTTTGTAAACCAAAGTGCGTGCCGAATTAATGACGGTATTTTTCAGTGGTAAAACCTATAATCCCTCCTTTTTTATTAATAATTTATTATTTTAAATTTTCTGTGTCCCATTAAAAATGAAAAATTTACTTTTGAGATGAATTACTTTTTCTAAATAAAATTTACAGAATCAAATAAATTTTTCAACATTTACCAAATTTTATGACATATTATAAAACCATATTTTATTGTCAATTTTACCGAAATCATTAACAAAGCTCTTCAGTAAAAATACTGAGCTCTTTGGTATTCCCCTAGAGTCAGAAACACCGTAAATTTCACCACCATATTCTAGTAGTTCAGACCATAGTTTTCTGCTCTGTGCACTAAAGGTTAGCCAGGTAAGGCGCACTTACGTACTAAGGTAAGGCACACTTAAGGTAAGCAAACGAATATTTTTATAGAAGGGTCAAACAAAATAAATTATTTTAGAAAAAAAAAATAACGATTATTTTAAAAAACTGTTTCAAAAGTGCTCAGTACTAGATTTTGAACCTACTGACTATCGTACTCATTGAACCCCTTATTATATCTAACGTTAATTTAAAAATTATTCGACAATCTTATGCCTGCGTTAACTAGAAAAACACTAATGAGTCCCAATTAATCTGCGCAGAACAGTACATATTTAATCACATGACTTCGGAATTATTTTTTAAAAAATGATGGGAGAAGTATAAATTTCTAATAACTAGAATTTATTACAAACTATTTACCGTACCTAAAAATGGTTTAACTAGCTGTTTCCTTAAATAATTACGAGTCTCTCTTACTAGGTTAAACAAAATAAATTATTTTAGTAGGGAAAAATAACCATTATTTTAAAAAACTGTTTCAAAAGTGCACAATACCAGAGTTTGAACCTACTGATTATTGTACTCATTGAACCCCTTATTATATCAAACGTTGATTGAAAAATTATTCGACAATCCTATGTCTGCATTAACAAGAAAAACACTAATAAGTCCCAATTAATCTGCACAGAACAGTACATACTTAATCACATGACTTCGGAATTATTTTTTAAAAGTGATAGGAAAAATATAAATTTCTGTTACAAACTACTTACCGTGTCTAAAAACGGTTTAACTAGCTGTTTCCTTGAATATTTACGAGGCTCTTTTTTTGAAATAGGCAAACTATTTACAAGTCCAGTCCTTCGTCTTGAAGACGATTCCATGATAGGCATTGTCTCAGCCTGGCCAGATTTAATAAGGCGTTTCCAAGATTCTTTCAAATTTGATATTCTCCGTGAAGCTTCACTTAAGCTTACCCTAAAACAAAATAAAGTATTATGATTAACATTTGCATCAAATTATTAGTCGATGTAGCGTCCATCAGTGTGTTAAATAAATATTCCTAAGCAACTGAAGCGGTACACAAAAAACGATACATACTAACAATTCATTTCATGAAATGATTAAACTATTACAAATTTTGAAAAAAGAATGTTCATTATCTTTTTACTAAAATACCTATCAATATTAATTCAGATAATTAAAATACCAGATAATAAAACATATCTTATTTATCGTATCATATCTAATTAATCATTTTAATTACGCCATATATCACACCTTATTATCATTATTAATCTCGTTAATAAATCATATTCTAAATATTTCTATATTTTCAACACCAATGCTGTATAAAAACATTAATGCTTATACGAATTTAAAATATTCAGATGAGTGTTTTTAAATAAAGCAAAAGAAAGTCAAATAAAACGTATAAATGCATGATAAAAAAAAATGCCAAATAAAATATTTTTCGGTTCTGTAAAAGAAATATATTATTTTTCATAAATTATCTAATTAGAGTTTTTCTTTTTCGTTAAATTTGCTTAAACACCAGTTTTACAGAGTTTTTTTTTTCTTTTTTTTTTAATCTCATTATTTAGTTACCACTAGATTTTGTTCATATTATAGCTCCATATTTATAGCTCTCTGCTTCCATGTAGGTATTTCCTAATTATCAATCTTTAATTAAAAATATTCGGAAGAAAAGTTTGGATTCAAGTTACTTTTTAAATTAAGAATAATTTTTTCATCCGAAATTTTTTCAGAAAGAAACATAGCTGGCATGAAAATGAAAAAATAAGCATTTAACAAAAGTACATACTTCTTATCTGAATTTTATGCATGATTTATAGTTGTAAATTGTAAGTCAAATGAAAGGCTCTTAATGATCGTTAGAAACTAGTCAGAATCATTTGTGCCCTATAATTTTATTTCCTGATGTGATGACGACCAATTGATTTAATGTCTTATTTAATCTTTTTATGCAATTCTATAATTATCAATCTTAAATTTAAATATTTGGAAGAAAAATTTGGAATAAGCTTAGTTATAAAATTGAGAGAAATTTTTGTACCCAAAAATGTTTCAGAAAAAAATATATCTGGCATAAAATGGAAAAATATACACTTTTTAACTGATTGTTTGCGTGTTTCATAGTTGCAAATTATAAGTCAAAAGGAACGTTCTTTATGCTCGTTTGCAACTAGTTGGAATTGTTTCTGCTTTCTAATTCTATTCGCTGATGAGATGATGCAACCATTAATGGATTTAATGTCCCATTTAAGCCATTAAGCGTCATTTGATGTTCCATTTATTGAGTACTAAATATAATGTGATTTTATTTTTAGAGATAATAAAAACAGGTTATTATCTAAATTCATAATCATATTTTTAAAGGAAATTTTGAGAAGAGTTTGTATTTTTATCATGCAAATTAACTACGTTTCACTTTAAATTTGTGTTCAATCAGTAATATGATAACAGAAATAAAGTTGTATTATAATATCAGCATAAAAATTGTTTAACTAATTTATTGAATCTCGTATAAAATAAATAAAACTCGCGTTAAATAAATTTATTTAATACGACAATATTATTATATTTTATGTGAAAACCTTAAAAAAAAGTCAGTTTAGAAATTGCTTTAAGAAAAAAAATACAAATATTTCTTAAATAAAGTGGATTAATCAATATAAATTAAAACAATAACTGTAAACTCTATATGAATTATAGAGTGGTAGGTTATTAATCGAACCAAATCAGTTTATATGGATTATATAGTGGGTCATTAGTAATCTAGCCAACCACTCTATAATCCAGATGGAGTGATTTGGTTACAGTAACAGCCAACTACTTCATAATTCCTATAGAGTGGTCCGGTTATATTAATAACCAACTACTCTATGATCCATATAGTGTGATTCGGCTTGATTAATAATCATCTGACATAACAATTTTCTTTGTATCTTAAATGTTTTAACAAGTATTAATAAAATGGACTAGGAAAAAGTATGTCACTTCATTGCAATAAAACAACTAAGTAATAAAATTATTAAGTATTTGACAGTTTTCAAATTACTTCTCTTTAATTTATTTTAGAATAGGTTAGTTCCCTTTTATGATTAAAGCTTTAAATATTTTTATTAAAATGATTTTCAGAGCAAAAAATTACTTATTAACATCAAATATTATTTTAAAAAATCGGTAAACAAATGAAAATATGAAAATTTTTTATCTCAGTTACGTTACAGGACAGATCATTTTAAAGCAGTGAAAATATGTCGAAAATATAACCATAGAAATATGAGGGACGAATACGTTGATATCATTAAAAAAAATTATAATTATAAATACATTTAAGGAAATTACTTTTCTAATAGTAAGAAAAATCATAATTATAGCTGCAATACAAAAATAGGAATTGTTGCAATGAAAACATAAGAAGTTCGAAACACAGTTGTGTTATGACTAAAGAAACATGAAAAAAACATGAATAATTGTCCACCCTGTCATGCTATAAATAAATGTTCCTGTAGTAGTTTGCAAAAATATGACAAATAATAGTCTTAGTAACGTTTTAAATAAATAATTTTAAAGCAAGAAAACAAATTTTTTTTCGAAATAGTATGATAAGAGCTAAGAAAAAAGGAAATCGCTCTTTTGAACTTATTAAGGAACAGAATAAGTAAAAATCCATATAGAATAAGGAATTTTTTCTTAAATACTGCTTGTATAGAAATAAAAATGTAAAGTTCAGATTCAAATGCCACATAAAATAAATATTCGAAATGTTTGCAATATTACATCAGCATAAAAGAATAAGAAAACTTTTTAAAAAATATACGGATAGAAACGTATATAAAGTTCAAGAAAACCAGTTTCTTTTTCAAACTTTTTTTTCTGTAAGATGATAAAAAAATATAATCTTTTTCGTTTTTAAAACTGACACTAGTTAAGACGAACACAGAATAACAATACGATAAGCTTAACGTCAAACATATTTCTCCATCAGAGGAAATTATTTTCTAATTCACAGCTTGTTTTTCTGAAGCTCGTTTTATACTAAACACTTAATAAATAATAAGCATATTTTTAAAACTAATCTTTTCGTAAACTCTTTAAAATATTTAAAATCAAGACTGTGAAAAGATTTTTTTTCAATACTTTAGGTATATGAGCAAAGAAATCGTTTAAAAATAGCCAGATTTGTATGAATACTAATAAATCAGAAGTAATCAATTAAATAATATTACACCCTCACAAAAGAAAAATGTACTTAAAAGTAGTAAAGCGCGTACTTATAATAATTCCAAGAAAAAAATTACTAATTCCAATAATAATTCCAAAAGATCATCCATCTTATTTAAAAGAAGAAGATTCTCAGTTTTTCATAACCTTTAACTCATTATTGTACTCAATCATGGCATTTTAAATAAAACTTTTATATGTGCCTGATATCACTATAGAGAGCGAAAACTTAATTAAACCATTTGAAAATGTTTTATTAACACTCATAGTACTTATCTGCAAATATAATTAAATTAAAGTTTCAAAGTTCCGGGCTTGCAAAATTTAAAATTTCTTAAACCAATTGAAATATATGTTCTCAAGTCAGTTTATGACCACGATGCTTGACGCAACGATCTCAAATATTACGTTTCTTCCATTAACCGGATTTCAACGCAACACTTGGTCAACAATTGGAAATTGTAGTATGTTAGTAAAATAATTCAATAGTTTTAAGACACATAATTTCTAAAAAAAATTGAAAAAACAAAATTTTATGGAATTTTTAAAAAAAATTCCTTTTATTAAAATCTGTAGCTCATTTATAAGATTTCAGATGTTTAAATTTTTTAAAAGTTTAATATCTTTACCTTTTTAAGACTAATCCCACAAAATAAATTGAATATTTAACTGAAATACCCTTAAATCCAAACTCAAGTTGAAAAGAATAACTTGGCTGACAAAATTTAAAAATTCTTAAATATAATCAAATAATTCCTAAATAAATTCAATTCAAATTCTGGAGCCAATCATGACTACGATGTTCGACGTACAAAGCATTACATTTCGTTTTCCGAAATATTACTTTAATCGAATTTAAAGTCAATATATTAAGACTTATAGAATTATTGTCTATTAGGAGGAAAATTCGACATTTTTCAGACACTTAATTTGTAAAATTTTGTGAGAAAAATGTGATTTTTCACTGAATTTAAAAATAAAAGTTTTGTAACAACAAACATTTCAAAATCAAAATTTCATTTTTGAAAACATATTTGAATAACATATTTATGTGTGAAGTATATTGAATTAGTTAAAAATAATATCAGAAAATAAATGAATATTTATTAACTGATAAATTAAAATTAAAGCTTCAAAAAATATCCTGGTTTGAAAAGTTTAAAAATTTGTAAGTCAATTATAATTACGATGTTCACAAAAAATATTGTCTTTCCTTCCCTGATTCCATTAATTACCGGAACTTAAAAGTTAACACTAATTCAAGCAAATATCATTAAAAAAATATAAATATAGCTTATAAACAAATAGAATATTTACCTACTAATATTTTTAAACTAAAGTTTCAAAAATATCCAGACTTGCAAAGTTTAAAAAATCTTCAACTTATTCAATGAAAAGTTTCATTTTCCGAAGTTATATTTTAATCAAATTTAAAGTCAATTAATTAAGACTCATATATAAGGGAAAAATGCGACATTTTTCAAATACTTAATAAGATCAATGTGATTTTTTATTGAATTTAAAACTTAAAGTTTTACGATAGCAAACATTTAAAAATCAAAATTTTATTTTTGAAAATATATTTGAATAAAATATTTATATGTGAAGTATATTAAATTAGTTAAAAATAATATCATAAAATAAACAGAATCTTTATTAACTGATATATTAAAATTAAAACTTAACAAAATATGTCTTGAAAATTTTAAAAATTATAAGACTCATTCAATAAAAAGTTTGCAAGTAAATTATAACCACGATGTTCAACACGGCATTCGAAAAAAATATTTTTTTTCTTTCTCTGATGCAATTTATTAATGGACCTCAAAAGCTAACACTAATTCACTCAAAATCATTAAAAAAGTATAAATAAATCTTATAAACAAATAGAATATTTACCTACTAATTTTTTAAAACTAAAGTTTCAAAAACTCTCCCGATTTGCAAAGTTTAGGAAATCTTAAGCCTATTCAATGAAACGTTTTTAAATTAATTATGATCACTAAATATTATCCTTCCTTCTGTGATTTTATAAATTTTCTAAATTTGAAATTTATACTAACTCAAGCAAATTTAATAAAGAAAGATATAAAAAATACCTCGTAAAGCGAATATAATTTTTTTCTATTGATGCATTCAAACTAAAATTTTAAATATCCTGGCTCGCTAAGTTTAAAAAAATCTTAAACTGACTCCAGAAAAATTGTCTAAACATTTTTAAAATTGCCTTTAAAACATTTTTAAACTGATTCAATAAAAAAGTTTTTAAGTTAATTACGTTCACGACAATCATAAAATATCACTCTTCCTTCTGTGATCTTATAAATTAAATAAATCTAAAGTCTACACCAACTCCACCAAATTTAGTGAAACAATTTTAAAAAATACCCCATAAAACAAATAGAATATTTACCTACTGATGTATTCAAAATAAAATTCCAAACAATATCCTGGCTTGAAAAGTTTAAAAAATCTTAAACTGTTTCAATAAAAAGTTTCAAGTCAAATATGATCACTGCTATCGCAAAATATTATTCTTCCTTCTCCTATGATATCCATTAATGGAAATTGAAGTCAACACTGCTTCAAGCAAACAAATCGCTCAACTAAATGGCTCAATTTTTTTAAGGTTACAGTATAAAGTTTATAGTATCAACTATTTCTGATGAATTGATCTCGAAATTTGTTTGGATGCATTTATCAACACTTTAATTTTGTAAGAGCCTCCAAAGATAAAATTGCCTCTCAATTCAAAAGAATTTCTATATTTAGAACGATAAAACAAGATATTAATCTTTCATTTTGTGTACAAGATTCACTACTTCTAAAAATAGAGTGAAGAAAACTTATGTCGCAATAAGCAATGATAGGGAAGGCAAAAAAATAAGTTCAATGGGAATACGTTTTACATAAAAAAGTTAGTTAAAATGTGGTAAGAATGTTTGATAAGAGTTAAATGAACGCAACAAGAAACCAACGTTGCCGGGGTGATGTGCAAAAGTCAAATTAAAAACAATGTGTTATCTTTACGTCAAAACAAACATTTTAAAAGCTATTTCCAAAGTCCATTTTATATGTGATGATTGCAAAGTGGCTTTTGTTACACAAAATTTGAATATCACTCACTAATACGTTCAATTTGCTATTTTATCAGAGAATGACGTTTAGATAATTTACTTTATTGCAACCACTTCGATTGATCAAAAACCTCTTTATTAATGACTTTCATTCAATATAGAAAGTGAAATTGATTTTTAAGATGCGCTAATTTTATCCATCTACAATTTACAGCATTTTTTTTTTCTTTACTGATTACACATTCAGGTTTAACTAAAAAAACTTTCTCCAATCAGAAAAATGATAATTAATAACTATTTATAAAACTAAAAGAAAAAATTGACAAAATCACTCATAATTTCGTGAATACATTGAATTTTGTAATTCAGTAAAATGTCAATTTAATTAAAATGATAACTTATGTAACAAATTAGAGACAGTTTGCAGGAATTTTTAACTACATATTATTTTTAGTTTATCTTCGTAGGGGTTATTCATTATTCTAAGTTTTAATTGCAATTGAACTCCAAACAAAAAAGCATAAATGTGTCGCAATCATTTGTTTTTTCAAATATAAGTTTGTAGAAAAACATATTTCATTTTCAGTTTTGCTCAACATTAGATGCAAAGAATAATTCATTATTATTACTAATATTTTTTACTACACTTTTCCCTTTCTTTCAGAAAAAAGTACTGTCAAAACTACCAGAATATGTTAAAATTTACTGTGTTTCTGGCTCTATGGACACACTAAAAAGCCTGTTAATTTTTACTGAGTAACTTTGATAATAATTTCGTTAAAATTAACTATAAAATATGGTTTTATAATGTAAGATAAATTTTAGTAAATGTGCTAAAATTAAGTATTTCCTCATGATACGTTAGCGCATGTCATAAAAACCATTTATTCGGTTAAAATAACTTTTCAGTTTTGTATTTATTACTAAATGTTTGATAATGAAAACTGTAATTTTGAAAACTGGAATTTCCGATAAACCATTACCAGATGAACAGAAAAACTACCAAATGAATGGTTTAAATACCGTATATTTTGATTTTACTATCCAGAAATATGGTTTCTTTTATCAGAAATGTCATTACCATGCAGAACGGAAATTTTACCGGAATTGTTTTTCGCAGCGCATAACTATAACAGAAGATAAAAAACAAAATTAATATTAGCCAATTAATATCTTTCACTATTTACAATTTTATGCAAGTTTCTTTGCTGCATTGGAGCATCATTTTCAGTACAAAACAGAAAAAAAAAGCAATGAAATACATCACAAATGAGCAATGTAATGTAAAAAAAGTTTGAAACAGTATCAACCATTTAAAGTATTTAAACTTAATTTACTTCGCATTGCTCGTTCGTTAAGTTTCTCATTGCTGTTTCTCTGTATTTTGCAGTGATGACAATGCTCAAATTTAGAATCGAAACTGTTATTCAACTTGGAACCCGATTTAGGAACAATAAATTATAACAACTAAAAGAGCCATTTCCGCCATGGATAAATATTGAGAGGAAAAAAAACTAAACTATTATGTTCTTAGTTTTGAGAATCCATTTGCATAAAATGACATCAGTTTCCTGTTTTCTTTTTTATAGCCATGAATGAAATACCTATAAAAACTGAATATATTCCTATTAACTGAAAACATATTTTCAAGCATTTGGTTTCAGATTAATTCAAAAATTTAATTTATTATATTTGAGTTCAAATTTATTCACTTTAAATGTATATTATTCAAATTTGCTATTTTTTTATATTAATAAAACCATCATATTCAAGTTCAAATTTATTCAATTTAAATTTTTAATGCTAGAATTCTAAGTAACTGAATTACTTGACTTTATTATGATAAATTATTATATCAGAATTAAAAATCACTGAATTTAAGTATATAATATTTTAATTCAAGCAAATTTAATTGTTTGATTTCATACTAATAAGTTATTTTAATTTTTTAACTTATTAACTTAATTCGGAATAAAAACTTGAAAAGTATATTCAAAATAATGATATATACTTATAACTTTCAAAATACAAATTTATTGACGCTTGACAGACTTGAAAATTACTAATGCAAATTTGATGAAATTCAGCGCATTTGCAATATTGTGAATGTGTATATTTCTCATTAAATCTTGTGTTCTGAGAGCTTTAAGTGAACATTTATTGAAATTAGTTATACTTTATATTGTATATCCGCTACTAGTATATTCAGATGGCAAATTAATTCGATTTCAATTATTATCAAAATGTTAAAAATCCATTAAGAAAGAACATTTATTGTTCCATTAAGAAAGAACATTTATCTTAGAACATTTTAGACGTTTTGCATTAAAAGTATTGTTTATTGGTAAAGTTAACATAGTACTCACACACAAGCTATACTTGGAAATAGAGACTCAAATCAACTTAAGTTTAAATTCATTAAATTCAAACTTATAATACTGGGATTCTAACTGAATTATTTGATTTCAGTATGAGGAATTAATTATATTAGAGCTCAAATTCACTTAATTTGGATGTATAATATTCAAATTCAAACTAATTGAACTATTTGATTTCATATTAACAAATTCATTTAATTTTTCATTTATTTATTGAACGATTTATTGAATTCTGAACTTGAAAAATATTTAAAATTATATTATATACTTATGATTTTTAGAATGCAAATTTATTGACTGCTGACAATCTTACAAAATTCATAAGGCAAATTTCATGAAATTCAGCATATTTGTAAGATTGTAAATGTGTATAAATCTTGCTCTCTCAAATTTTTAAGAGTATATTATTTGAAATAAGCTACACTTATAGTAGTCAGAATGCAAATCAATTGGATTTCAATTATTTTAAAAATCTCAAAAATTCCAGTAAGAAAGAATTTTTTGATTATCTTCGAAAGCTTTAGACATTTCGTGTCACGTGTATTGTTTATTGGTTTAGTTAACATCGCATTCAAGTCATACTTGGAAATAAAGGTTCTTGAAAATCTTCTAGATAAGTTATGCGTCGATAGGACAAAAATTTATCGTTTTTAGGGCCACTCTTTATTCACGTGAAAAGAATTGCTTTATACATTTTTTTAAAACTTATCGAGATTTAATTTGTCCTATATGACCGATACGGTATGTAGTGGTACGCACGTGTCAAGGCGGAACTTGACAAATGAATGAAGTTAAGCTTTAATTAGTTGTTCGAAAAAAATTACACTGTTAAAAATTCCTGATCAAATTACAGTATAAAGTACCGACACATTGGATGCTTCATCGTAAAATAGTAAACTATAATTTTAACAGTAGTGTTTATTTAATTAGAGTACTACAGTAATTATTACTGTTAAAATTCAGGTATATCAGGATTTCTTTGTTCCGTAACATGTTCCGGTAAAAATGAATTTCACGGTAAAAAGTTCCGGCCCCTGAGTGCCGGAACTTTTTTATTTTTACAGTGTGCAACGAAGAATTAGTGAAAAAAATTCTTAGCGAAATTGTTCGAACTTATCCAAGTCCATTAGAACATAAAGATACATTTCAATATTCTGACTAGAATAATGGGAGAGTGTTTGACACTACTCTTACACCCAACAATAAATAAATTTAAATTTTTCTTCAAAATAAATAAATTTAAAAAGAGCTATTCTTATAATTTGAAAGGCAAGGATCTCATTCCTTTTTAGATTTTGTGTGTGTAGTTTGTAAGCTGAAGTAATATTATTGCTCTTTGTTTACCAATCTTACGTTTTGCATTGGCAATTAAAACTCAAAAGTTTTAACATCATTTTAATAGGAGTAGTAAATGACGAGAAACAAAGAGTCGAAAATTTAACTTGCACGAATTTACTAATAATTAATTAAAAAGTGCTCTTCCACTCACCTCCTTCCACTGTGCAAAAGTAATATTATTGCTCTTTGTTTACCGATCTTACGTTTTGCGTTAACAATTAAAACTCGAGAGTTTCAACATCATTTTAATAGGGGTAGTAACTATGAGAAATAAAGAGTCGAACATTTAAATTGAAAGAAATTAGTAATAATTAAATCAAAAAGTGTTCTTCCATTTCTCCGACAAAGTATTGTGATTCGATTGAAGTTATGAAATTTTAATATTTTATAACGTAGATTTAAAATGCACAGTTAGATGGGTGGCATATCATTTTTTCTTAATTAATTAGTTAATTTCCCATCGTTTGAATTTAGTATGCTATTTACTTAGAAGACCAGATGAAAAGCAAATATTTTGTTTTAGCCTACAGATTTAATATAAGAAACATTAAGGAAACTAAAGTGTCTGAGAATACGCAATATCTGACATATAATACATAATGCTGCTTGGCGAGATGACAAATATGAAAGAAAAAATCAGTGCTGCAAGTGTATGCTTTTGGCTACGCCTTATAAGACAATATTCGACTGAGAAACACAACGCATAGCTGTATTTACCAGTAGTTTATGGGTTCTATTTTTTGCCGTCCACAAATGCACTTCACAAATCTCCTGACTGGTGATCACAGATTAACGAATTCATAACCTTCATCTCA